GGGGAAGTCCCGGTTAAAGCTCCTCCCTCTCTCAGTTAACAGGTAAATCCCTCCCCACCCTGCTCCCGCCAGCCGCCCCGCCCCCACCCGCGGCCTGGATGTGAAATCGCCATTTCATCCTGCACATTGCTTAATTGTTGCAAATATTATTTGTGAAATTGGCCTCCAACGGGAGTGAACCGCCACGCTCATTCCGCCCGACAATTCCCCGCCCCCCAGTCTCCCGCCTCTGCCCTCCTACTTCTCTGCCCCCCCACCACACACACACATCCTCCTGTCCCGCAGAGCTGACCAGATCCTGACCTATGAAATCTCCACCCCCCTCCAAAAACAAATAAACAAACAAACAAACAAACGCCAAACGAAGGCTCCAGTGGCCTTGCTACAGCCTGGGCTGAGTTGGAGAAAAAGTGAATTGGTAGTGGGACGGAAAGGAGAAGAGAGCTAATCCCCTGCCGCAGTCCACTCTGCACCTTCCGAAGGAAACCAGTCAAATTGTTTGAGGCTGGGGGTGAAGCCAGCTCTTTCTATCAAGCTATCCCTTGACCTGAGAAGTTGGCCCTGCAGGAAGGAATCAGAATGTGGTCCCATTCACTTGCGGGTGATTGAGGAGTCCTATGGTGATTCCGAATCCCGTTCCAAGCTTTTCCTTTTCATTCTGATTAGGACGAAGTGTGGGGGGCGCTGTTTGGGTGGTGTGAGTATTTGAACTCTGGACACAGGAGATGCGGTGGAGTGGGCTGGAAAGAGCCTGGAATATTGTCTGGGTCATAGTAGGAGCTTAATAAATGCTTGTTGGTTGATTTTGTCGTTGGAAGGTCTGGGTTCTAAACCTTCACTCTACGCCATGACTTTGAGCTTCGGTTTCCCCCACCTGTAAAATGAGGAGGTATGACATGGCTACCTCTAAGGTGACTTCCGGCTCTGAAATTCCTCCCTCTGCAGCTTACTACTTGTGTGACCTTGGCTAGGTTATTTACGTTTTCTGGGCCTTTTGAAAAATGAGGATGTTGGACTATATGGCTCTTCAGGTTCCTCCGAATTCTAAATTTACGACGCTCTGGACCTATAATTCACATGAGGTGATAAATAAGGAAGGCGCAACTGGGAAAGGAAGGAAAATAGCCTGGCTATTTGGGGAGACTTGATTTTGCGACCAAGTGACAGCGACTCTGGTCCAGGCCCACCATGGGGTCGGACGTAGCCTCTTCGCCCTAGGACGACTCTCAAGCAATAACCAGGATGGCCGCTTGGAAATTCGATTCTTTAAACACGTTTCGTGCGGAGCCGAAGACCCCCAGCCTCCGGCTCCCGGTGCTGCCTTGCTCTACTCTTCTCCTCCCCACCTCCCATCCCCACCCCCCAGCTGGGTCTCTGCCCCTGATAAGCGGGCTGCGTCCGGAGAGCCCAGACCGCCGGGCTTTTCGTCTGTCCTGGTGGGGTGGGGGGGGGGTTGGGGGAGTTGTACCTCCCCTCCACCAAACTCACATACAAGTACCCTGAATATAGCTTCAGCTGGATGTTCCAGAATGAGATCTGGCCCCAGAGAAGGAGGCCAGAGGGGAGAGAAAGAAATCAGCACACACTCCTTTGCCACTTACTCCCTGGACTACCCTAGGCAAGTCATTTAAAATCCTTGGGCCTCAATTTCCTCATCTGTTAATTAAGGAGATTGGGCTAGGTGGCCTCTTAAGCTTTCCTTAGATCTAAGACTATAATCTCTCTCCAAGGCCCCTTCCAGATCTAAGTGCTACGACTCTGGACTGAATTGCGCCTCCCTCTGGAGCCGCTAGGGACTTCCAGCTGGGCCCAGGGCCCGGGGGAAATTTTGCTGAAGACGTCTAGGGGCAGGGGGAGAGTGCAGTGTCTCGGATCTGCGCTGCCATCTCACTTTCCCGGTCTCTCCACCGCCCGGGAGTAAGCCCAGGACAACCGGGATTCTTGCTCCGAGGAAGGGCTCAGTGAATATAGGGGAAAGGACTGAGTGCGTCAATAAGGCGAAGGAACCCTGGGTTCCCCAATCTCTCTCTCTCTCTCTCTCTCTCTCTCTCTCTCTCTCTCTCTCTCTCTCTCTCTCTCTCTCTCTCTCTCTCTCTCTCTCTCTCTCTCTCTCAGTATTCGCTTTCCTTCTGTCCTTGGATATATCCTTAGAACAAGAGGTATAGACAGATTTTATTCTCTTCCGCGGTGTCTCTTTAGTTCCCTAGTGTAGGGAGAGGAGTGGCGAAAATTTCACAGAGCTTGACCTCCGAGGTCATCTAGGTGTTCCTCCCCGCCCCCATCTCTCCATTTCTTGGATTGGGTCGTTTTCAGTGGAATTTTCAATGCAGGTTTAGGGGAGTTTGGGCTGGCTGGCCGGGAAGGCAGAGTCATCCGGAGCATGGGGAGGTCGAGGGCCACGGATTCAGCGTCGGCTTGCTGCCTCTCTGCCTTGTTTAGGTCTCTCGGGCGCCCTGCGCCTTTCTGATGACCCCAAGGAGGTTTCAGGAGCAGAGTTTTGCTGGGCTGGAAGTGGGGCTTGGAGGGAAGGGGAGGGAGGGGAACAGAGATGAAACGCTGAGTTTGCAAAAAGAGTTTGCAGGTGAGAAAAAAGGAAGGAAGAGTATGCAAAAGCTTTGGCCTGATCAACTCTAGGTATTGGAGGAGCAAGGCTGAAGCAGGACCTTCTTCCGGCCTGGGGAGATGGAAGAAGGAGACAAAGTTTGGAGGCTGGGTTTATTTTATTGTATCTTGCCTCCAGGGTAGAGCCCTAGATCCGCTGGAGGGGGGGGGGAGACAAAAGGCCAGCAGCCCTGGCGTCCTGCCCCGCTGGGAGGGCGTTTCCCCCACCCCCAGTCTCCCCTTCCCAGATTTCTTCCTGAATAGAGGACTTCCGGTCACTCCGCTCTCCTGGACCAAGAGTTCGAGGACCCCTCCCTCTCTACTACGGCTCCATTTGTGCAGTCACCTCAAATCAGGATTAAGTCTCTCAGACTTGGAAAGTTTTGGGCAGTTCCACCTTCACCCTTCGCATCCTTGGCCAGGTCCCTCGACACCTTACCACCCCCCTTGTCCCCCACTCCTGGTCCCCGATATTCAGTGGGCCTGACTGACTGTAACCTCAGCCCGGAGAGAGGCGCCCACCTGCTGAGGGCATGATGTCAGGAGCCTGCAGAGAAGGTCTGGGCTGGGCAGCTCGATTTAGGTAGCATTGGAGATTTCTGTGTGAGGATTGGGGAGGGGGAAGAATTAAGAGGAGAGGTCCGAAGAGGGCTCCTGGCAAAAGGGAAGGAGACTCGCCTATTCAAAAACTGGCCCAAAATACAAGTATTACGCCCCCACTCCCTACCCCGCCTGGAAGCTATAGCAGGTGGCACTGTGGGACTCCGGACAGGCCCTGGCAGACGAGGTGAGGACACTGTCCAGAAGACAGTACAGACATTTCTCCCCAAATCACTTCCCTTTTTAATTCTCTTAATTTCTTGACCTGGGCGGCCCATGCACCTGAAAAAGGAGGAAAGGCGATCGAGCGAGAGAACGAGATTTGTGAACAACTGAACGCCTTTTCCCTCTACTTTGATGGGGGGGAGCATGTAGGGAAGAGGCCAGAGGGACAGCACCAAGACACCCAGAAAGCAAGAAGGAGAGGACGGGAGTAATGAGCATTCCTTTGGGCTTGGTGGTGAGCGCCGCCGTCACTGCTTCTTTTTTTTTGGGGGGGGGGGAGAATCCGCTGTGGATCTAGTCCGTTCATCAAAAATACTCGGACAAAGTTTGGCTATCTTCTGCAGGCCTCTCAATGCCTCTATCTTTTCTCCTCTATCCTCCTACGTTCGCCCCAAGTTTTAATGGGCAGTTCTGTTTCTCCTGCTGACCAGGCCGAACCGCGGATTTTAAAATACAGATATATTCGTTGTAAATTTCTTTTCGCTATTGGCCCTTCGGTCCCTTCCGCCGGGCCCCCTTTCCTCCTCATGAATAAAAGAAAAAGTCAGAGCCTATCAGATCCCAGTCACCACTGCTTCTCTCCTCCTCCTCCTCCTCCTCCTCTTCCTCCTCCAAGAAGTAAAGTACTTTAAACAACTTACGTAGACGATCACTCTCCCCTCCACCCTCTCTACTCCCCTTCTTTCCAAAAGTCTTCCTATATAACCTCCCTTCTCCTCCCACCCACACCCCCCAAACCAACTAGACACCTTCCTCCTCCTTCAATCACCCCTTCTTGGAAGGAAAAGGATTGTGTGTGCGCGTGTTGGGGGCGGGTAGCAGAAAGAGAAGGGGTAGGGGAGAGAGGAGAGGAGAGTAGAGGAGAAAGAGGGAGAGGGAAGGAGGGAGCGAGGGAGGGAGAGAGAGAGAGAGAGAGAGAGAGAGAGAGAGAGAGAGAGAGAGAAGAGGAAGAAGAGAGAAGAGAAGAGAAGAGAAGAGAAGAGAAGAGAAGAGAAGAGAAGAAGAGAGAGAAGAGAAGAGAAGAGAAGAGAAGAGAAGAGAAGAGAAGAGAAGAGAAGAGAAGAGAAGAGAAGAGAAGAGAAGAGAAGAGAAGAGAAATAAATAACCCCAAAGAAATCCGCTTCGCAGCCTCAGCTCAGAAACTTTAGCCCCTAGTACGAAAGCTGGTGTCCTCAGCTCTTCTGGGGCTGGTGGGGGGGAACAGGATTCCCACCCCTCCTCCTTCCCCCATCTCCACAGCACCGGCTTCCAGCTCTGTCTCCCCACCTCTGCCCCCACAACTTCTGGCGCAGAGGGACCGAGGGAGACTTGGGTCGGGTTTGTTTGTTTTAACTTCCTTACCACCCCCGCCCCCACCTCACCCCCCCCCCCCAGTTTCCCAGCTTCTGGACGCGTTTGACTGCAGCCGGGGGTGGGGTGGGGGGTAGGGAGTGTGTGGGGGTGGAGGGGGGGGAGGTTTTTTTAAAAAAAGGAGAAAGGGAGAGAGACGGGAAGAAAGAGCTCACAGTGGGGGGAAAAGAGAGAAGACAGGAAGGATTTCTGAGGACTCCGGACCTGTCCCTGGCGTGCCCAGAATGGCGGCTCTCCCCGGCACAGTACCGAGAATGATGAGACCCGCTCCGGGACAGAACTACCCTCGGACCGGATTTCCCTTGGAAGGTAAGGCCGCTTGGGTTCTACTTTCTTCGGCTCCTTTCCGGACAACCCACCCTTTCTCCCTGTCCTCGGGGACCCGACTGTCTCGAAGGGCACACCACAGTGGTGGCTGCAGAGAGCGGGTGGCGTCCCCAGACATCCCGGGCGCTGGAGGGAATGAGCTTTCCCCTCCGTCGGTCCCCGGGAGTAGCTGGAACCTGGGAACTTTCCCGGGACCTCCACTTGTCAATGTCCTAGTCCTTTTCCTTGCCCTGGGGGTTTCGGCTTTACTCCCCTCACCCTCCCAGACTTTCTTTCCCCCCTCCTCAACCCTAGGAAGGTTCAGCTGCTAGTAAATTTCACCTCCTTATCCAATTTCACTTACTTTCCCTGCGACGTTCTCCGCCCTCACCAGACTCAGCCGTCCAGCTCTATGTTGGTTTTCGATTTTAATTTCGACCACGAAGATTATTTTACAAAACATTTTATTTTAGGGGATTATCCACAGTGAATGTTCTGGGGGCAGTATCACACAGATGATGGCTTCTATACTTCTTCCCCGAAAGAAAGTAGCCCTAGAAAACTCTCGCTTCTGGGCCTGCTCCCGAAGCTATATGAAAGGAGAACGATTTTATTTTAAAACTTTTCAGCCAGACTCCCAAACTCTGGAGTTTTCAGAGAGACGCCTGCACCCCCACGCCTTTATCGCCTTGAACGAGAGACAGTAGCTGCCTAGAGAAAGGGGAGCAAAGAATTTATTTCCCAAAGTTCCCCCCTCCAAAATCAAATTTGCAAGGAAAGGCACGGTAAAGCTCCTTCATCCAGTCAGGAGAGTTCTGTGTGAGTGTGTGTGTGTGTGTGTGTGTGTGTGTGTGTGTGTGTGTGTGTTTATGCAATTTTAGCTAATTAAAGAAGCTAAACTTGTCACTGAAAACTAACGTCAGGCAGATTCTGGGAATGGGGGTGTCTCGCGGAAGTGTTTTGAGGGTCTTTACTTCAGCCCCGAGCTCGCTAAAATTTCATTTCGAGATTTTGTGAATGCGCCCGGTGCCTGAGGAGGAGGAGGAAGAGGAAAGTAAAGGGAGAAAGAATCGCTGAGCAGGGGGGAAAGGGGGCTGGGCAGGAGGAATGAGCCGGGCAGCCCGCCCGAGATCGGGGGAGCGAGGAGGCGGCCCCGTCCCCGAAGGAGACGAAGGCGAGTGAGTGTTTCCGTGATCAAGTGCGCGAGAGAAAGTGGTGGGAAGCCACGCAGGCGGGAAAACCTTCACGCCCGGGGGATTTGGTGGAGTGCCTTGCTCTAGCGATGCCGGGGAAGCAGACGGCGCGAGGACGGCTCGGAGGATTAGGACAATATTTGCACACCATGCCGGAGAATACAGAGAAGGCAGAAGTGGCGGCCGCTGGAGAGGCTCTTGAATATAAAGTTGGCCACTCGAGAGCTCTCGTCCGCTAATGGCATAGCGGGCCGCAGAGGCCGGGTGACTCCGCCGCTGCGGCGCGGGATGGCTGATTAAATGCGGAGGTAGCTGCAGACACCGACTTTGGCAAAGAGTGGGAGCTGGAAGGAGGGGAGGGGGAGCACGAGGGAAGGGGGAGACAGTGATATAGTCCAAGCCTTCTCTCCCCCTCCTTCCCACCCCCACCCCCCTCCTTGTCTTCCAATTATGCAGCCAGCTTCCTCCATCCGGGCGGCTGTGAAATTGTATTAATCTGCTAGATTTCCGCGGCGATGCAGTCCCCACACTGGGGGCTCGGGTCCGGATTACAGCAGCCCCCCCCTCCCCAGCACACCTTCTGTGAGAAAGGGGTGCAAGCGGCGCAGTAGGAGCTTGGTTGGGAGCCCCCGGTGGCGCGCGCACACACCCCAAAAGCACAGCCTAGGTCCGGTGCTGGTGTTGGTGCTGGGACTGGGAGTCGCTGATCTTGCTCTCTCTAGCACAGCCCAGGCCCCAGGGCAGCCCCACAGGAGGTTTTGCTAAGCTAGAGTGAGGGCAGAGAAACGTTTTGGGGAATGCAGAAAGTCTTCTCCACGAACCCCCTCCACCCACTCCCCACCCCCGCCTCTCTCAACCCCAGGCTAACCTACAACGAAATAAATCCTCGGGCAGCGAATCAGGGGAACAGGAAGGCCCCAGAGGTCCAGGCCTGGCCCTGGCTGCCCCCTCTGGGAAACCCTTGCAGAGATCGCTAGCTATCGCGATACACTACGATCTCCCGGCCTCCTACTTGCTCTTACTTTTGGCGTTTTGTTTGGCCCACAGGAAGTCTGGACACCTCTGTAGCCGGTACCAAGTATGGGCTACTTAACTCCCCCAGTTCTCGCGCTCCCAAACGGGTTTGTCCAGACCTCCCGATCTGGAACAGAAGATCCCAAGAGATTCCTTTGGGCCCAAGTATCGTGACTGGCGTTCTCTTTGCTCAAAAAAAAAAAAAAATCGGCCTTCTCTCTGAGTTGGCCTGAGGGCCAAGCCAAACCAGGGAGTAGAGATCCTCAGTTCTCAGCCCAGTGGATTTGCTGTGAGTGTAGATTGAGTACAGGCGAGCAAGTAAAGGAGTTTGGGGCCTTTTCCCTTGGGTCCTTCAACTTTATCTACGACGATCCCGACCCACTCCACCCCACCCTACCGCCATCACCACCAGCTCTTTCCTTCTATACTTGAATTCGATTCTCCCACCTGCGTTCTTCACACACACACACACACACACACACACACACACACACACACATAAAAGTGGCCCATGGATATGAGGGGTCATGTAGTGAAATTGGGAGCATAGAAGATGCTCCCAATCCCCCCGCCCCCGCACAACAGGTACCTTTTTCACCCTTTGGAACCGAACCTAGAAAGCTCCAGATGCAACGGCTGAAGAGGGCAGAGGGCAGATGGCAGGGTCCAACTAAGGACCCGCAAGGAAGTGGCCTCCAGATTTGACAGGACATATATGTGCTTTCGCAGTTTATGGGCAGGCGCCTGCTCTAGGAACCTAGGGGGATAGCTGCACCCCAAACTACCCTTCTTCCACCTTTGTAATGGACTTCCTCTTATTCTGATTCTCCTCTCTTGCCGCCTTCCCCACAGTGTCCACCCCACTTGGCCAGGGTCGGGTGAATCAACTTGGCGGGGTGTTCATCAACGGCAGGCCCCTACCCAACCACATCCGCCACAAGATCGTGGAGATGGCCCACCACGGTATCCGGCCCTGCGTCATCTCTCGCCAGCTCCGTGTCTCCCACGGCTGTGTCTCCAAAATCCTATGCCGCTATCAGGAGACTGGCTCCATCCGACCTGGGGCCATCGGTGGCAGCAAACCCAGGGTGAGTGTCCTGGGGAGCCCTAAGTTCTTCAACCACCAGCTTCCCAGCTCAAGGACGTGAGAGTGGAGGGAACCTACCTTGAGTTACAAGGCTTGAAGGCCATATGTCCCTGACCGAAACACCGACACAGGGCGAGTTATTTAGGGGTGCTGATGGAGAGAAGAATCCCCATGTCATCCCCAAGAACCCATACCACCCCAATTTCCTAGCTATAAGAGAGAATTTGATAACGGCAGGGAAGAAAAAGTTTATACCGTATCCCTCACCCCACCTCAGGGAAATGAAGGCCAAATCTCCACTTCCAGAAACCCCTAAATCCACAATCTCCTCAAATATTTAGATAATTCGTAGGCATCCTTATTCCGAAAATCCCCTTTCTTCCTTCACAATCTGGATAATTGAGGACAATTTGTCGGGATGACTCAGGCTTTTGAAGCCTAGTAGCCCTCGATGGAAGAGCATGAGTAACATTCCCAGAGTCCCGGGTCTGGAGACAACTCCTTGAATGCACCTCCACCCTCTACAGGTTGCCTGTTTCCTCCTGGGGCCTGGAGGGAGCTAGGCTTTGCGGTCAACAAAGTAACAACCAGCCTTCACCTACTCTCTGTTCTAGGCCAGGTTCAGGGAGCCATAAGGGTTTCCTCATATTGGCTTACCCTTTCCATTCTTCTCTCCCTCCACTCCTTTCCTTAGAGCTGAGAACTTCCTTAGAGCTATAATAACATAATATACAATATAGATTATAATATATAGTATAATAACAATAACAACTCATATGTATTTATTTAGCACTGTACAATTTTCAAAACCCTTCCCTCACATCATCCCCATTTTATAACTGGGAAAACTGAGGCTGAAAGAGGTCAAGCAACTGGTCCAGCGGTACTACTATTACAAGTGATGCAGATTGGATAGGAACTCAGGTTTTCTTGACTCTCCTGCTTTTGTGACTTAGTGGAAAGAGCTGGGACTAACAGTTACGAAACCTGAGTTCCAAGTCTTACTTTTGTGACTAACTCCATGTCACCTTGAGTAAGTTGCTGTCCTCTCTGTGTCTCCATTGCTCCTTCTGTGAAATAAGAGGGACCCATAAGGTCCCTCCCAGCTCAGATTATCTATGACTAGGGTCACTGCTTCTCTGTCCTACATAAGATTTGGTGGGAATCCCAGACCCCTTCCCTCATAATCTGAGTGCCCCAATTTTAGGTTTATATTGAAAGTGATTTCTCTCCTCTCCCCTTTCCTTTGCTACTCTTTCCCCTGTCCTACCCCCACATTCCCTCACTAAAGCAGGTAGCCACTCCAGACGTGGAGAAGAAAATAGAGGAATACAAAAGAGAAAACCCTGGGATGTTTAGCTGGGAAATCCGAGATCGGCTGCTCAAGGATGGACACTGCGACCGGAGCACTGTTCCCTCAGGTGAGAAGACAGCTGAGCTGGCTGGGCTGGGAGCCGCAGAGGCAGGGGAAATACAGCCTCCTGTGGGTACGAGCTGGACCAACCCAGGGTCCCTTGCCCTCTATTTCCAGAACTTTCCTGCCAGAAGGATGAGGAATATATACAGAGTATGTGGGTGAAGCAAGATAGAACATACTAGGAGAGAGGAGGTAATTCTGTGAGAAGGGAGAGGGACGGTAGAGAAAAACAGAGGAATTAGTGAAGGAGGGAGAGAAGGATGAATGAGAAATAAAATAGTACCAACAAGTTCTAAGACAGAGAAAGAAAGAAATTTGGGAAGGACAGAAAAGACAATAAGAAAGAAAAAGGGGATAAAGATACTGAAAGAACTAAAGAAGATGAGTAAAGAAGAAAAGGAGAGAACCGAGAGAGACAGAGTGAAAAGAGGACACGAACTCAAAAGCTTTTATTATATTAACGAACTGAACTTAGTAGGAGAAGAAAGTTGTGATAGGGTTCAATTGCTGGTTGCAGGAAACTGAACAGGGTAAACTTGTCCTCAGGAGTGCCGGAATCCTGGTTCTGGCACCTAAACCCTGACCCGGGTCAGCCGCAGGCTCCACTCCCCTGCAGGCTGTTGGCCGGCTCCAGCACGTAAGGGTTACAGCCTCTCTTTTGGGCCACCGGCTCTGGCCTTCCGCTTTGCGCTCTCAGCCTGGCCTGAACTCAGTGCTGCGCGTCTGGGATGCAGACACCGGGATGCGTTTGAGCGCCAAGGCCAGAGCCGCGGTCCCGGGGGATTCATGCCCTCAGACAAGCTAGAGTGAGGGGTTAGGCGCACCGGTGGCTTAACTGTGTTTGATTAGGGACAGATAAGGATGGGGGAAGTCGGGGGTCAATGTAGATATGTGTGATGTGTGTGTGTGTATATATATATATATATATATATATATATATATATAAATATACATACACGTGTGTGAGGATGTGTGTACAAGTGTTTGCTGGCGTGCACCGATACAGATATTTATTGTGTTTAGGAGCATGCACATAAAGATGCGTCGGTATAAACGAGTAGTTTATGCATGGGTGCCGGCGTGTCTGTAGGTGTATGTTTGAGTGTGTGTGTATATAAATATGTGTGCCTATGCATGACTATAGGTATAAATGCAGGTTTTAGACGCATGTAAATGTGTGACGCTATGTATGTGACTGGGAAGACATGGGGGTGCACCTGGGGGTGTATTCGTGGGTACACATGTACGTAAATTGCATATTTGGGTGTGTATGACTTTCTCGGAGGCTCTGTGAAGGTGAGAGTCGCCCCGGTTCACTTGCAGGATAGCAGCTGAGAGCCTCCCTCCTTCCCTAAACCCTCTAGGGGCCAGGCCCCTGGTGGTGACGGGAGGAGGGGAGAGAAAGGTTTACTTTCTCCACGACTTATACTTTCTCTTTTGCATTTGAATTTCTGAGGTTTAGTGAGTTCGATTAGCCGTGTGCTCAGAATCAAATTCGGGAAGAAAGAGGAAGAGGATGAGTGTGACAAGAAGGAAGAGGACGGCGAGAAGAAGGCTAAACACAGCATCGACGGCATCCTGGGCGACAAAGGTAGAAAAAGGACCCTCCAGCGGCCTTTGCGTCCGGCGCCTGAGTTCTGGGAAAAGGGCAGGGGGAGAGAGAGAGAGAGAGAGAGAGAGAGAGAGAGAGAGAGAGAGAGAGAGAGAGAGAGAGAGAGAGAGAGAGATGTTTGTCCAGTATGGTATTAGGAAGGCGGACAGAGGTGGAAAAACAGTTTCGTGTCTTGACTTGGAAGTCAGGAACCTCAGTTCAAGTCTAACCACTGTCATTAATTGCCAAGTGAACCCAGGCAAATCACTTTCCCTCTTGGAACCCTCCTTTTTCTTATCTGGAAAATGGGTATGAGAGAATTTTCCCCAGTCCCCCTATTGTGAAGATCAAAGGATCTAGATGGATAAGATAGGCAAGGGTGTGGTAGGTAGAGCCCCGGACTTGGAAGTTAGTATACCTGGCCTCTAATGCTTGCTTGATGACCACAGACAAGTCACTTAACCTCTCAGAGACTCGGCTTCCTTGTCCGTAAAAGGGCTTACTTGCACTACCCAACTCTTAAGATTATGTGAAAAGACAGTCCCTGAAAAAAATGTAAAGGTTATATAAAAGCCAAATATGGTTAATGGATGTAAAGCGCTTTGTATCCCCCAAGCGCTAAGAAGGGATTGATTGTTATTGATGGATTAGGGCTAAAGCAATCGGATTGTATAGGGTAGAAATTGTCGGGGAAGGGGGGAATCAATATATTTGGATCCGGAAAACCGGACTCTCTCTCTCCTCCTACTCCACGTTACTGCTCTTATTATTGGTTGTTGAATGAAGGCAACAGTACGTCTCTATGCCGTCGTTGTTATCACCTCCTATTATAGTCTATTTTCTCAGAGGCGTGAAGTTTAGGGATACAGAAGGAAGTTGGGTTTGGAGAGAGCTTTGTGAAGCTCCTCCCCCCATTCCAGAGAAGTAGGGGTCAGTCAGGTCTCCCTCCTCTCTCCTCCTTCCCCTCCGTGAGTCTAGGAAGGTTGGCATGTTCGCGGGTAGCTGGGTCTCGATCAATTATTTATAGGAAACTGGAGGCAAAGGGAGGGCTAGGGGAGGGCAGCCGGAGGGGGGGGTGCGTATCGCGGCTCCCTAAATGAATTTGTTCGACAGCTTTTTCCACTGCTTTCTAAACGGTCCCTTGAAACTCCTCCTGACAGTTGAGTGATCGGTGCAATCAATATCAATTAGAGAGCGCGGGGGAATCCGGTACCTTTCTCTGGCCGGGGCCGAGCTGAGCAGATCGCCGGCCTGCCTGGAGGGGTGGGGAAAGCCCGGGTCTCCCGTCCCCCGGGAAGAAGCCCATTTGGGGCGGGCCCTCGGCAAGTGAAGAGAACCTGTGTTGAAGTTTCCGGCCCTGTCCTGGGATAAGGGAAAAGGCATTATTATCCCGTAGTCCGGAGATGTGGGACAGCCTCGAGCCCAGCGCATATATTAGGGGCGAGACAGCAGGACTACGCGCCTTCCCACCCCATGCCAGTCTCTGCTCCCCTCACTCTGAACCCTTGGTTGTTAGCAACCGACAAGCTGTGTGGCCCGTTTTCCGCTCGGCATCTACGGGTCGCACCTGATTTGGGGAAGATTTTTCTTGAGAGACGCACTCACCAGAAAACGAATCTTGAATTTGAGGGGAAGGTGGAGCAGAGACTGCCTGTCTTATTCCAGATTACTCTTCCAGAAGGAGAGGAGACTGTAACAGTAGATGAGACTAGAGCGTGTGGGTAGAGAGATGGTGAAAATAATGGATAGAAAGGTAGAGATCAGAAGAGGTACTTGTGAACTGGCGGAAAGAAAGAAGAAAGGTAGAAGACAATTCTGGCAAGACAAGGAGACAGACTGATTCTTTCTCTGTGTTGCTGCTGCGAGACTTTGAGGAAGGCAGAGAAAGGAGTTAGGGAGAAAACTTTTAAACTCCTCGATCAGACGTTTGTTTTGAGCAGTCCCCCTTTCCCCTAACCTCCCCCAACACATCAGGCCCGCTGTTGACTCTGCCTCCCAACCTTGAAGATGAACTTCAGAGACAAAGCCCCCTAGCTTCTTGCCGCCTCCCGAGCCCAGATCCTCTCCCACAAAGGCAACCCAAGTACAAGAAGGAGGGCGACTAGGGAACTGAGGGAAAGGGCCCAAGTCCTGGGGAGGGGAGCGGGGGAAGGGGCGGGCTATTGACATTCAAAAACGTGCGAGCAGCCGCGCAGCTCTTGGACAAAGGGCCAGGGAGGAGGCGAAGAAAGGGAGCTAAGTTATTCCGCCGCTCCCCGCTGCTCTAAGAGTGCCGGGGAATATTCTAAGGCCCCTTGGGCGCCGGCCTGAGGCCCCGGACACTTCGAAATATTGTATCCTGGAAGGGCCAGGGCACACTCTGTCTCTAAGGGTCGGCTGTGGGCTTTTTTTTTTATTTTTCGGTTTGGGGGTTTGGGGGTTTTTTTGTTGTTGTTGTTGTTTTGTTTTGTTTTGTTTTTTTGCGGAGGTGAGAGGGCTACGTGTGTCTGCGACTAAAAAAAAAAAGAAGCACTTTGTATTTCTTGCTGCTGGAAAAAGTCCAACAGCCGAAACCAAAATCCATTTCCCCTCTCTCTTCCCTTACATCCCCGTATAACAAGGCAGATCTCAATTGGAGAAGCTGGCTACAGCAAGGGGTCTTTGAAGCCCGAACAAGAGGAAGTATTCTCAGGAAGGTTGCTGCTCAGGTCTCAGGACCGGCACTCTTGTTCTCAGGTAGCAAGTTGAGGGTCTCAGGGTTGGTGGCACAGGACGGAAGTCTCCTCCAAGTACAGAGATTTCATTTCGCTGCTGGCGCGTGGACGGGCAAAGGGGCCAAAACAGAGACTGGTCAGCAGAGTGAGAGCCAGTGGCCTCAGTTCCTAGTGACCTTCGCTAACCGCCGACCAGCTGCCGAACTGCCTTCGCTAGACAGAGGTTTCCCCTGAAAGACCTGTAAAGAGCTGGGAATGCTAGGGGGAGGGAAAAGGTGCTGGGGGGGAAGCCTATTTATCCCGAGCTTGGGATGAACGATGGACCCTGCCTTTCTGTTACGCATGAGAAGGAAGGGATCTGGAAAGAAATGCAGGCGATTCCGTGGGGATAACTCAAATCCCGAATAAATTGTCTTACTAACGAAAGGAGCAAGTGTGGGGCCGGAGCTGTGCAATGGAGTGTGTCCGAGTGGCTGGGGGCGGGTGCGTTGGCTCTGAGTGTCTGGACGTAGTCAGGGGTCACGGCGCGTGGACCTGATTTGTAACCCTTTATTTCTGAACCCTGCCAAATCAGGCTATTTCGGGGTTTCCCCTCCCCACAGTCAGCTATAGAGTTCAGTCCAAACCTGCTGCCTTCCTCTGACTTGGCCACGGCGGAGGGGAGAAGACTTGGACAGAAAGGAGAGCTAGGGCACCAGGGGTGCTTGGAGGGCGCCAGGGGTAGTGGGGGAAGACAGCCACAACTTTGTTTTGGCTTCTCTTGTGACAAATGCCCTCTCGGGGGGTTGCTCCTCTCTCCTTGCGGGGAGTCGACAAAGAAGGGGCTTAAGAGCTCTCCTCTTTAAGAGCTAAGGAGAGATTCCTCCCTGCGCTGGTTTCTTTCTGTCGTCTGCTTGGCATTTAATAATGCTAAGACTTATTAGAGCTGGTAATGAAAAGTGGGGCTGCTGAATAGGGAACTGTGTTGGAGAGGGGTGTAATAGCTTCGAGGCATGGTAAGAAACTATTTATCCGCAATCAGTCCTCACTCTCAGAGTTTGAAGCACAAACGTTAAGTCGAAGGGTTTTAAAGCAGATTAAATTGGGCTTTTATTTCTCTGCACTTTCATCTTTGAACAGCTCACTCCTGCTTGCCTTGGGCTGATATTCATGAGACGTTCGTATTCCTCTTCTCTCTCTCTCTCTCTCTCTCTCTCTCTCTCCTCTCTCTCTCTCTCTCTCTCTCTCTCTCTCTCCCTCTCCCTCTCTTTCTCTCCCTCTCTTCTCTTTCCCTCTCTTTCCCTCTCTCCCTACCTCCCTCCTTCCCTATTCTTTCTCTTCCTCATTCTCTTTTTTCTCTCTCATTTTCTCTCTCCCGTCTCTCTTCTCTTCCTCTCCTCTTCTCTTTCTTTCCCTCTATCCCTACCTCCCTCCTTCCCTATCCTTTCTCTCCCATATTCTCTATATTCTCTCTCTCTCTCTCTCTCTCTCTCTCTCTCTCTCTCTCTCTCTCTCTCTCTCTCTCTCTCTCTCCCTCCCTCCCTCCCTCCCCCTCCGTTCTTCTTTCTCCCTCCCCTTTCTACTCCTATTCTTGTTCAGACTGAGTTATTACTATCCAAGCTGCTGATATTGTTACACGACCGCCCTGAATCCCAACTCCTAGCCGGCACTGTCTTCCTCACCTGGGAACGAAGATGGGCTACCTCTTTGTCCCCCTTTCCTCCCCACTTCTTTCTCCATTCTCCTCCCCACTCTAGTTCCGTCCCTTTTTACCCCAGTCTCCAAGGATCGGAGAAGGGGAAGAAAAGAGGGAGCAACAGCTGTTTGCGAAGATGGAAAGGAAGTTTTCCCACTCATTCCGGGAGGGACAGACTTTGCGAACAAGTTGGAAAGAACCAGGGAAAGGGAACCCAGGCTGAGTGGACGCTGAGGAAGCCAACTAGTGGGACTAAGAGACAAATGCGACCGGAAACAATGCATACTACACACACAGACACGCACACACACGAAATTCGGCTAGCTGCAGCAGAAACTGAGGAGGTCAGCCCTGAAACTGACCAGGGCACAGTTGAAACTGGAGGGGTCAGAGCTGGAAAGCAGAGCTAGGAAAGAAGCCCAGCGTGGGCAGGGGAAACGATTTTAACGAAGGAAATCTGTCTTCCCCCTTGACCCGCAAATCTAAGAAACCCACTCCCGAAATGTCTCTTTTGGAGTCAGGGGGCCTTGGAGAGGAAGCGGCTGGGGCTCCGGGTGGCCCAGGAAGGGTCTAGGGCAGTGTGTGTGGGCGGGTCCAGGTCGTGGTCTCTTTGTTTTCCTTTTTATTTTACT